TGGGATTTATATCCAAGCCAGCTTTTGACTCCATACGTCAAATCTCTAATCTCTGCCTTCAGGGGATTTGCAGAGCCCCGGCTGGCTGGAAGGTGACAAACGCTGTCTCTGGCTCTGGGAGAAATAAGGGGCTCAAGCACATCGGTCCTGAGCGATACCGCTGTGCCCTGCAAAACAGCACCCAGCTCCGTAGGCAAATCCCAGTGCTTGTGTTACACGAGGGATGACGAAAGTGGGAAATTCAGGTGGGAGCAGTCAGGGGATCAGAAACCTGGCACGTAACCGAAGGTGCCAGGAGTGCTCTCTTTTTGGGGAGGAAGAGGAGGAGGCGGGCAGCGGCAGGGCTCCCACTTCACCCAAAGGAGACACAAGTCCGGCTGCGTAGCACAGCGTAAGTCAGGATCTAATGACTGGGATGTGAAGTTCAAACTCAACCAAATGGGGAGTTAAACCTTTTTTGATTAGGAAGAATAATTAACAATTAACAATTTCCCAAAGATGTGGTGCATTTCCTACTGCTAGGAACATTCGTGTATTTGATATTTCTTCACACGACACACTGAACTTTCTGTCCTTGCCTTCCACGCTCAGATGAAATTCCCTCTTCACACCCCAGGACCAAGGAGATCCCTTCCATGCCCACCAGTCCCCACAGCCCCATCCCTCCGCAGCAGCCTCCCTTATCCCCCGTCCTTTCCACCCAAGACCACTTACCGGTTTGCTTCCCGCCAAGGCACCACCAAGCCGGCCGGGTTCGCTCCATTTTCCATTTGCAGGCTGGGGTTATCTCGGGCAATCGCCACTCTCGCTCCTGAGGTGCAGGATGGCGTGAAATCCTCTGTGGATACTCCTGAGGCAGTTGTGTCCTCGGGACATACTCGCCGGGGTGGTGCTTGGGTACGGGGTCCATGTGCATCATCATCAGCTCTTCCTCTGCCGGCTCTGGCTCCGGCCCTGACCCCGGGGTCCTGCCGGGGGAGGTTTTGGTCCAAGGACTGATTCAGGAAAGTTCGTTGCAGCCCCAGCTTTCTCATAGGGAAAATGCCCTGCGGGACAGACACTGAGTGAGGGGAACGGAGTGGCTGAACAAGGGATTCCCATCGCAGTGGACCTTGCCTCCTCCCACGCCCCTCCGAAGGAAAAGAAAGGAGCCTGGAGGCTGACAGCATCCCACGGGCTGTGAAGGCATCCTGCGAGAGCCATCAGCCCCAGCCAGCAAACCGGCCTGCACAGAAAACCTGCACAAATAGAAGTTCAGTAACTTAAAATTTATTCCAAGTGATGCCTAAACTGTAAAATAGCATCAGCCAAGCTATAAAGAAGGGGATAAACCACCATCCCCCCATACCCTTTTCTCCACGTGGCTGCATCAGCACACCCCAAACACAGACCCCCAGCCCTGAGGAATTCGTGCACCGGCATTGCTGCTGCTTATTGAGGAAAGGGTCTGCTGGAAAAAGAAGTTATCTTACATCCAGCGTGTGCTAAATATCTCCACTGTGAACTGGGGACAGAGCCCCGCGGCTTGAGACTCCGCAGGGACAGCTCAGCTTGGCAACTTTTGTCTGACTTTCCCTTAAAGTTGGAACGAGATGATCCCTAAGGTCCCTTCCAACCGAACCGTTCTACGATTCCATGATTACAAACACCCCACGATGTGGCTCCCCAGGCCCCGTACGACGCCCCCAGCCCGGGCGCTTCCTCCTGCTCTGTGCCAGGAGCGAAGCCAATTTCGCCCTCCTCGGTGGTTACGGAGGATGATCGCTCTTACGCCCCGCAACAATCTTTTCCTTATTGGAAAACTGTTACTATCTCAGTCTTGTCTTTTTTAAATCAAACCACATTCCTTCCATTTTTGTTGTCACAGGGCATTTTCTTTCAGCCCTCTGGTCATTATTGCCTTCCCCTGACCTCCTCATGGTTGGTGGGCATCTGTAGCACGGTGCAAATCCCCACGGACGAGAGACCGTCTGCCAGCAAAGGCTTCACCCGCAGAGAGTGCCGGGGAATTACAACCTGTCCTGGCTCAAACAGCACAGAGCAAAATTTGCCCCTTTCTGCAAGAGTCTGGGCATTTAGGTTTGCAATCTGTTTATAACTGTATTATAAAGTATATATACTCTATATAGCCTTGTAATGTTTATATATACACTACGTAACTGAATTACAAATTGTTGTCCAGGCTAGAAAGAAAATAAAGACAAGTCCTTGAGGAAAGTCATTTTTCACCAGTGTGCAAATTTTAAAGCAAGTTTGTCTTATATTTCCTTCATTATTAATGAAAATATTGCATCTACTCCCTTTATCCCACAAACCAAAGGAAAAGGAAAACCAAAGTTGTTTTGTACTTGAAAAAGCCACGTGAGCTCCTTTTTATGACCCTGGCTTTTGTAATCTTACTGATTCAGAAAGGTTGCCCAGTGAGGCACTAAATTAAAAGCCAGGAGAGCACCGTGCCTTTGATTTGAGTAAACATCCCCATGTTTTCAGGTCCCTGGGGAGTGGGTGCCTGCACGCTTGGCCTGTGCCAAACCCCCCCTCAATGCCAACACGGCCACCCCTACAGGTCCAGCATAGCCCTGGTTGATGTCCCCAGCCAACAGAGCCTGACCTCGCTTCCAGCCAGAAAACAACATGGGATTCAACTGACAAAACCCAACAAAAGACGTGGTGCCCATCAACAAGGCTTTATCAAAACCAGCCCTTGAGAAAAAGCCTTCGGACTGCGCTTCCTAAAGGCAACCGCACAGATCCAACGCTACCGTGAGCTCTTTGATCTCCACCACGTAAAATACCCACGAGGATGCCAGGCAGTACTAATGAAGCTTGCAGTGGAGGGTTTAAGGGATCGCCCACTGACAGCAGGAGCTGTCGATGAAGAGTTATCAGCACGGCAGGGTGCTCCCTGCAGCCACGTTCTTCAGCATTTCACCAACGAGCAGCAAAGGTGAGCTCCCAGCTGCAAACGTTGGCAGATGGCATAAACGTTGGCCAGGAGAGAAGAAGAATGAGGACAGGATAATGAGAGCGAGCGACTAGGTCAGCTGGTTAGTTGGGTCCATCCAAACCACATTTTAGTCCAAGGAAATGCAAATTGAAATGTCCAGGATGAAGCCTGTAAACACCACCTGCATAGTGGAGACCAGGATCCTGGAAAACATGGCTAGGACGAACAGAAAGGGCAAAAGCTTGCAAGAAGCTACACGGCACAAATTCCCAGCGAGCAATGGGAAAGCGTCGCTTCGGTGTGGCCATCCCCAGGGAAATGAAGACCCTGATCCCACTCAGGCGCGTTACCCCTGCGTTCAGCCAGGAGAGGACTCGCTCCCACTGAACAGGGCATCCACAACAGCCGCGGCGTAGACACGTGCTGTGGTACACGGCAAACGCGTCTCCAAAGGATGGCACGTCCTCGAAAGGGACCGATCGAGATCACGGTGCGGCTGCTGTGGTTTGCTCAACAGGGACCAGGCGTTTTGCCCCGAGGGGATGGGACTTGGTAGGAGATTGCTGCAAATTCCCAGTGTTGGGAAGCTACATGAGCACGTCTCAGTGTCTGATGGAGGAGATAGGGCCCGTGGGAAGGGGAAGGGGACGGGGAAGGGGACACGAGCTCTTCTGCTGAGCTGGGGTAGGAGCAGGAAGGTGCAAAATGAACCTACAAGCTGTGAGTAAGAGCTCCGAGCAGAACGAGCTCTGCACCAGGCGGGACAGCCCAGAAAGGGTCGGAGGTGGCAGAGCCGGTCTTCCCCAGAGGGATGGATTTTAGCCTCTGGAATTGCACTCATTTTGGCTGGGGCAGAGTTACTTTTCTTCACAGTAGCTGGTACGGGGCTGTGGTTTGGATTTGTGACCCAAACAGTGCTGATAACCCAGGGATGTTTTCGTTACTGCTGGGCAGGGCTTGCGCAGAGCCAAGGCCTTTTCTGCTCCTCACCCCACCCCACCAGCGAGGAGGCTGGGGGGGGCACAAGGAGTTGGGAGGGGGCACGGCCGGGAGAGCTGACCCCAATGACCCCAGGGATATCCCATATCCAGCATGGAATGACATCATACCCAGCAATAAAACGGGGGGAGGTTGGCAGGGGGAGCCACTGCTCGGGCATTGGCTGAGCATCGGTCAGTTGGTGGTGAGCAATTCTTTTCATTTGCATCACTTGTTTTTCTCAGGTGTTTTTTTTTTTCCCTGTTATTTTCTTTTCCATTACAATATATTGTGATTACTATTATTATTATTTTATTTTATTTCAATTATTAAACTGTTTTTATCTCAACCCACAAATTTTCTCACTTCTATCCACCCCGCCGGGGGGGGAGTGAGCGGCTGTGTGGGGCTCAGGTGCCATCTGGGGTTAAACCATGACAGGAATACAGAAGAATTAGGGAGTGAGTTCATAATATGCCATGAAATCATTTCTCTTCATCTAACCAAAGAGAAGCTGGGAACTGAAATTCTCCTCTCCACTCCACCAGACACCAACGTGAGAAGCCCCGTGCTCACCAGCTGAGGCCGAGCGCTCCAACTCCGCACCCGTGCCGCTCTCCAGGTGTCCGTGCTCCTACACCGGAGCTATGATTGCTCCACGGAAAACATCCCGGCTCACCCCAGGAGCCTTTCGAGGACGGGCACAGACCCCGCTGCTCGTGATTGACCCCGTGCTCGTTAGCAGAGCCCGTTCTGGCGAAGGGATGACAACCAGGGTCTGCTCACCTGGATGCCCTGGGAGATAATCCTGGACACCGTGCTTCGTCCCGCTGAAGTCCTCGACGAACTTCTGCTTGGGCAGCGGCGCCAGCAAGGAGCGAGGGCTCTTCCCAACACCAGGATCCGTCAGCAGGCGGTACGTGGTTTTGCCGAAGGTTTCTCCACACTGATAGTTGTACTGAGGGACGAAGCCCTGGTAGCTGAGGAGGAAACCAAAAACAGAGCAGCCACCGAGATGGCACGGGAAGGTGTCTGCTGGTGGGATAATCGGCTTTAGAGCTGTTGTACCCTGGAAAGGCCACGGCCAGGAGCACGCACGGCTTGGAGTACGTGAGCCCGGGGAAGGTGGTTGTACAGGGATGTGCCTGCGAGCCTGAAGGAGTTTATGCCGCGGGAGCAGGAGCGCGAGGGGAGCACCGGGAAGACGCGTGCGGTTATGCATGAAGCCAGGCAGGTGCGTCTGTATTTGCACATGCATGTTTTTACACGGCAGCATGAAAACCGGCTCACAGAGTTACAGGTGTGGATAGGCACAGGCTTGTGCTTCGGTTCACGGAGGAATAGGGGACAAGGTCAGGGAGCGTGGCCGAAGCAGCGCCGGTGCATGGGAGAAGTTACAGCAGGAGCACAGCGTGGGCTGCAGTCGCTTTGACAGCGCTGACGTTGACAGCCCACCAGTTAAAATATTATTTCCAGTTAAACATGCCTCAATTTTAAATTTTGCAATCCCTCTCTCTGTTTGAAAACACAGTGAGTTACTGGGAAATTCTCAGTGTCCCTTCTTCAACACTGAAACTCAAAAATCGGAAAAATTGCTTGCTTCTACCCTCCAAACCTCTCCGCTCCGTACCCTTGTAGCAAGGAGCGGGACCGGGCTCACCAACCCACCCAGGCACCGCATTGGGTGGGAGAGGCACGGGTGGGCAGGCGGCTGCTCAGCGCCAGTAACAAACGTCGCCTGCTTTTTCCGGGACCTCTGCGAGGGGTGTAGCAACACGCTGCTGCTCCGCTCCCCGGGGCCTGGGACGGACGGTTGGACTTTCCAGTGGGTCAGGGGAGGGCAGGTGCTGGAGCTCCGGCTCTGCTCTTGAGGTCACCAGTAGAGATCTGAAACGTCAGCTATTCCCAGTATCACATCTCCTAATGGTGATGTTATTCCACCGCGGAAGAAGAAAAGCAGAGCTGCCAGCTGCAATGTACAGACAGAAATATTCAATCAATGAGCCCACTGCGTATCTGGGGATAAAGCCAGATGATGCATGAGGATCATACGACGATGAGTAAGTACTTTCTCTTCCAAATACTTTAAACAACAGCGAGCAGAGCCGTGCATTTACACTTGGCAAGGTTTCCCACTTTGCATGCAGGATCTCTCACCAGCAGCTGCCGGAGGAGCTCGGTGGCTCATCCCCATTGATTTTCAATACGTCTTGCAACACGGGGAAGCTACACCGGGACGATAAAGTTGAGCAAGAGCACAAATGACATAGCCTGAATAATTACAAGATGGCCAGAGGGATTTTGATCATGAACAAAATAATGGTAGGGCTGAGAAAGGATTCAATTCATAAGCAATTAAAGGCGAGGTAAGCCGAGGAGCTCGGGCGAGTCAGTCGGGGTTTATAGAGAAGGGCTCTGCCGCAGAGTGAGTTACAAGTGCTGCTGATAAAAGCCGTGGTGCTTGGGGAAGAGACTGCTCTCAGTGGGGCTGTTTGTCCTTCTCCTGCTTGGTATTTTGACCAAAGCCCCAGAGGGATCCCCCCTTTCTGTAGTTCACGCTGAAGCGCTGCAGCCCTCGATCTCAAACCTCGCCGGTGAGTAACCGCCTTTCCCAAGGCTGAGCCCCATTTCACTTTTCCCTTACTCAGCCCTATCTCTGCCATCGCCGCTCCCCGGACTGCAGCACCTAAACCTGCTCTGCCTTCCTGATCGCCAGGGAAAACCCTTGGCCCTGGGCCCGTCCTCGCTCGGCTCTGCGCCCTTCCCAGCGCCGCAGGGCCAGGACGGGGCCGGCAGGGCTGTGCCCGGTGCTCAGGATTCATGGATTTACCCCTTCTCTGATGCACCAAGTCCTTCCCGAACCATCCCACACGGTGGGTTTGGCTTCCCAACGCTCTTCAGCAGTGTGGTGGCATTTCAAAGCCCTGGCTGTGACCATTGCCCAATGCGAGTAACAGCAACCTATTTTGATGCCCTCATCGTGTTCGTGGGTTCACCGGCACAGCCGGGTACGGCACGTGGGACAACCAGCGAGATGCTGCGATGCGGCATCTTCCCCCTCCTCCTCCTGCCAGCACCCCAGCACAGGGTGCACTGGCTGCAGAGCCCCGTCTCCGGCGATGCCCTTCAGGCAGCTCCTCCTTGCGCTCAGCCACCCAAAGCAGATGCAAAGCAGCACCCTCAGCCACCCACCGGGGCTTCCTCTGGGGCTTGGGGTGATGCTACGAGCCTGCACAGCACTGCAAAATGCAGTAGCAAAAGGTGGTTGTTCCTCCTCCTCCTGCCTTCAGCGGCCAAAGCAACAGCCCAGAGAGGAGCAGCCCCAGCTGCTGTGTCGGTATCAGGGCTTGAGGCTGCTTTTGGGGGAGCGGTCTGTGGGCAGGAGGTAGCAAGGGCAAGTTTTGAGGCTTTTGGAGGTGCAAGCCCAGCCACAGCTCCCTCCTTGCTGTTACTCGTCTTTCCCAAGCCGCTGTCAGCGCACAACTTTGACAGGGTGACAGCACACACGGAGGACCACGTCGCATCGCTCAGACAACCGCAGCAACGCAAAAACGCGGTAAAAAAAACCAAACCAACCCCAGAGCTTATGTAAGTTTGGAAGATAGAGAGCTCAGTAATGGAAAAATCCTGCCTGTTGCTGTAATGGGAAGGACGGATCTGATCAGCACCGCAGGAGCATCGCTAAGGAAGGAACCACGCTCCACCCTTGCTCGGCAGCCCAGGAGCTGCCCGGTGCCCGCACTGCCCTCCCTGCGCCAAGGTCTGCAGCCCCTCCGCCCCGGGAGGTCGACCTGACGCCCTTCGGAGTCAGCCTCCGGCCGGACTAATCCGAGTGATTTTGTACCGACAGAAGCTTCTTTTCCCTCGGTGGCCACCCAGCCCTTCCCAGCCCCTTGACAGGTGTCACGGACCACATCTCCCAGCACGGGTCACCAGGGGACCCCACGCACAACTTCTCTACTTCACCCTCAGGCCTATCCACTTATTTCTGCCATTTGTGTCTTGCCTTTTAAGCAATAACTCATTACCTCTTACCCATGAGAGCTTGTTTTCTTCTTTCCAAGCCTTTAGAGAAGAATGTTGCAAAAAGGTTTGGAAAAAAAAAAGTCTAGCTACATATCAACTAGATCACCAGCATCCACAGTCACTGACTTCTTCAAAGAGCTCAGATCTGGCAGCAGGACTTGTGCTTCAACCAATTTGACAAGAGCACATCATGTCTATGCAAATACATATTCAAAGATCTTCAAACATCCTTGATGCAAAAGTTAGGACAGTTTGGAAACCAAACCCTGCACAGCAGGCCTGGTAACATTTGGCAGCTTAAAACAAATGAAAAAAAGGGGTGGGGAAAAAAAAAAAAAAACACCAAAAAACCACAAACCAAAAAAACCCCAAAACAAAACAATTCTGACTTTACCCTCAATGCGCTACGGCATGGTCTTTAATTAATACCCTGTTATAAGGCGGTGCTTCTTATCCTGGAGCCCTGTCTCCTTCAGAGCACTGTTATGCAGAATATTTAATAGTGTCTTAGACAAAAAAAAAACCCACAACAAAATATCATGACTCAAATATTATGTGATCCCAACCGGAGCTATTTGCATTGGAAATGCACATTTTGGATGAACTTCAGAACTTACCCAGGGATATAGTAGGGATTGGGAGGGAAGAGGTTATTTTCCTCCGGGGCTGCCATGGCAATGCTGCAGCTCTCAGTGGCAGCGTGGGAGGGAGGAGACGAAGCGATGCAGTTGCCCAGGAAACCTCTGTAACGCTGCCAGGAGCGACAGCGGTACCCAACAGCGTTTCCAGCTACAGCACACAGCTTGTCAGGTTTCTCTGGACACATTTTTATTTTTTTTTTCCCCTCCACTTGGAAATTTTGGATGAGTATGGAGATTCTGTAGCGTTTGTCAGGTTTCCTGAAGGCTCGTAGCCCTTGGGACAGTAACACCAGATGTTCCCGGTAAGTGGCCCCAGCACAAACACGTGTTCACAGCGTGGTTCACGTCCAACACGCACAACTCGGGAGAGCCTGGCTGTGCGTGCCCTGCTCACTGCTGCAAGCACACGCGTGGCCAGGCCAGCCCTGTCCGCACACCCCGGCCCACATGTGTGTGCTTCTGTTGAGGAAACCTCAAGGCAGAGCTTCAGGGATTCACCGCGCTGCAGTGGAAGGCTCAGCCCTCCTCTCCCTGCTCCTCGTTGCCCTCCCGGCCTGGCTGTTTGAGGATGCAATCCCCCACTGCCTTGCTTCGTGCAGGATAAAGGTTGTTGCCATTCCCAACATTGTACGGTCACATTGTTTTGTGTTTCACCCCACTCCAGGTGAAGGCAGGCCCAGAACACGGGTCTCCTGTTTACCGAGCAGCCACGGTGGCCAGTACATCCTCAAGTCAAAGACCACTACACCTGTTAGCACCAGCATTGTTTCTACCAACTGCAACACCAGCAGCAAGCCTGGGTCACCGCCAAAGTCCCTCCGCGGCCTTTGAAGAGCTCGACCACGTGGCTGGCAGAATCGTTTTAAGGTTTCAAAGCTACTAACCAGAAATCGTAGAGTACTCGAGGGTTGTTCTCATCTGTTCAGGTGCTGTCCTCCACCCAAAATTGTATCTGAAGAGATAAAAGTGCTGCTTTGACTCTTGCCCTTGGTGCCTAAACACTTTGAGAGATCTGGAATTTCCAGCCTTTATAAATGTATTTGAGTTTGCCTAAATACCTGAGCTCTGATCAGGGACAGACTTCTCCAGCAGCCCCAGGTCTGCAGGGTGGATGGGGCTGTGAGGGCCATGATGGCTCTTCTCAGAGGTGCCCAGTGAAAGACCAAGAGGTAACAGGCACAAGATGCAACAAGGTGAAGGCTCACCGGACACAAGGAGAAAATGCTCCTCCATTGGAACAGCACAGCCCTGGCACAGGGTCAGGGGAGGCGGTGGCATCTCCATCCTGGGAGACCTTCAAAGCCCAGATGGGGAAGGCCCAGAGCACCCCAATGGAGACTTGAAGTTAGTTCAGCTTCTAGCGGACAATTTGATAACAGACCTATGAAGGTTCCTCCCAGCCTAGATCATCTCCTGAGTTTAACATGAAGATGAAAAAACAGCTCACTGAAACACAGCACCGTATTCATGGCACCAAACAATGATTCCGGACTGGTCCAGGTCCCATCAGCCCAAGGGGGCTCAGGCCAGCATCTTCCCAGCATTTCCAGAAACTCCCTTCAAAGCTCACTCCTTTAAATGGCCAGCGGCTGCTTCTTCCAAACCTGGGGGTCACACACTTACCAAAGAGCTACTGAATAATCAGACCAAAATATCAGTCCTCAGGGCAGATACCTGAGCAAAAGAAAAAAAACAGTAGAAATTCACTTTTGTCAAGGTTATCATTAGAGTTTATTGATATGAGAGAAACTTCGTATGTCAACATGTCAATGGAGGAACAGCACATCCTGACGTAACAGAAGTACAAAGCCCATCCAGGTGACGTTACAGCGCTCTGGTATCTCTAAACTCCAAAGTACAGGAGATCGCGCACACGGCTGTGTATGACTTGGGTACATTTTCTGGGACAGGATAGAAATACTCCAGAAATACAATCGATGTGTGGTTTGCCAGCCACCAGTGCCTGACGGGCCTCAGCAGGGACCACGCTGGCTTTGACCTCCATCGCCCAGCTCCAGGCAGACGGTGCACACCCGTAACAGCAGCTCACCCTGGGCTCCTCTAGTCAAGGGAGTTAAAAAAAAACCCAAAAAACCAAAACCACAAACTATTTGGGGGTGAGATTCACCTGAGCCTGTGTAGGCCCTGCAAGGAGATGACGTGGACCCTCCGGGTCCTTAGCACGTAAAGGAGGCTCAGAGGACCAGCTCGGATGGAGATGCCTACGTGCAGGCAGGAGAACCCCCAATGGGTCTGCAGCAGGACAACCTGGGCACGGTCCTATCAAGTGAGCTGCTACTGGGAAACTTCACGACGGATTTGTTCTGCCCGGGGAGCAGATGCAGCCATGCCACACTCCATCCTGGCATCTGCCAATTCAGAAGCAGGTTTTTTCTTTCAACATAACAATTATCCTCATACAACAACTGTTTTGACATTCCCTCTCTCAGCAGTGCCCTCTCACAGAGCTCGTAGCACAGCCAGCCATTCACACTATGCTTGTGGCTAAGATAAAAATACTCTTTATAACCTTCACTGGAAATACATGCTATGCCGGATGCTGTTTAAAAAAAAAAAAAAAGCCAAGTGCTGAGCTCTCATCTTCTCCCAGCTTATGAAATACTTGGTTTGGTCCTAAGTATCTTGCTAAACGACTAAAGAGGGAATAGCAGAGTATTCCCCAGGCACCTGGTAAATCCACAATGGATTTATTGTAGAAACGAGCTGAATTCTCTCACTCACTCCAAATGGATTTCAGAGCCCTCTAAAACCCTCCAGAGAATGAGCCGTTTGTGACACGACAAACAAAAAACAACCCCAAGCCCAATGAGTAAACGGTCTCGCATTGTGCAGGGAGCATCCAAAATAAAACACAAACCCAAACTAAGGGGATCTGTCAGTCCCATCTCCAGATGCCCGATTTGATCACGGCAATAAAGGAGCCTGAGGCCAAAGCCCATCTGCCTGGGCGACAGCCCCAACCCCGCTGCAGACCTGAGGAGGAACCGCTGACACCAGACATCGGTACCCGAGTGCACGTGCACACACGTGTGCCGGGGGACGACCCGTACTCTGCTCCTTTTCCTCTCGCGTGAGCTACGACAAGTGACATAGCCGGTTCTGCTCTCAGCCATCCGGTTTCACCAAATCTAAGTTCCCTCTGCACATGTAACAGCATTGACTTAGAGATCTCATATTAATGGGTACTTACACAGGATTAATTGCACATCAGTCCATTGTGGCTACAAATTCATTAGGCTAATAAATCTACATAGTGACAGTAGTACAGTATCAGCTACTTTTCAATACAAACTCCCTACCCTAGCCTTAATCTGTAGGTCAAAAGAAGATCTTCTGCCGCAGTGACCTTCCTATGACCTTTAACATTCATTTTCAATTTTTTTTTTTTCTAGAAAAAAAAAATCCAGTGTGGGGAAAACGCACATATATAACAAAAGCAGTGCTTAACAACCACAGGAAAAAAAGAACATGATCTTGGACTCTTGTATCAGCATCCTCCGTAGACCCTGGTAGTGTTACTTCCAAAGGGTTGCTAAATGCTCCGTCAGTTCTCAAGTCCATTAAACCGTTTCCTAGCTCTAGACATTTCTAGTCTCTCACTATACACGCTGTCTGTAGCAAGAGCATACAGAAATACTTGCTAATGTGCACAAAACTTCCATTTGATTTAATGGAATAGTTTTAGAAGACTGAAGTCTTTACTTCTAGAAGTCTGTTCTTGAGTGGTAGTCCTCTCACCGACAGGTAGCTTTCTACTCCACCCAGGAGAGAGCTCTGAGTCCCTCAAAGTTTTACTCATTTGTTTTGCCCAAAGGTGTTCGGGTATCTAATAAAACCCCTCTCACAGTATTCCCAGGAAATGATTCAGAAGAGGAGATGATTTTTGAATCAAATGAGATCCTCTGGTCCTCTGTGTCAGACCATGGCCAATAGAATGAGCAGCTGCCATGGACATCCCAACTTAAATACGGTACAGTCAAGGGAGGAGAGCAAGGCGGCCTGACCATCTTCCCGTGAGGTACAGGCAAAAAGAGACACCAAAGTCACTCTGTTCTCAACAGTTTGTCTCTTTTTTCCGGAGTCAAATGTTTGATTCCATTTGTTCTAGCAGGAATTGGTGAATCATGTCAAAAGTGGGACGATCTTTGATATCCCTGCTCCAACATTTCAGCATCAGGTCAAACACAGGGTTAGGACACAGAGGAGTCTGGGAGAGATAGATCTGAAAGGAAGAAAGTTACAGCTGTTTCAGTGTTTTTTCATAAAAGAACTGAACCTTTACTAAATTAACACCAAAAGGACAGTTTCATTCTAGGTTTACAAGACACAGCCATCATGCAAGGTTTGAAATCCATTAAGCATGAATCCGGCAGTGAAGTCTGGATGGAGCTTTGAAACCATCTCAAACGGCACCACGGACACTTTGCCAACTTGTTTGACGAGCTGGTCAACAAACAGTCCTTTGTCCCCCAGGAAACATGAATGCTTCAGAGAGATTTGTCGCCCAAGCGACAGCAAAACACAAACCAGAACCAAATTTACCACAATAAAATCCAAATACTTTCACTCACCGTAGACAACCCATGAGGCTTTCTAAGCATCGTGACAGCTTGTTAGCAGAGACAGAAAAAACACCTTTTAGAGCTTATCTAAAGCACAGCTTGGCAGATTTTTTTTTTTCTTCTCATTTCAATACATCTCTTTTAGGCTCTTCACTAAATCATTAGTACTTGGGAGATGGCAAATAAAACCTCCCATCATTTTATTCCCCTTAATTTGTTTGGTGCTAAAGGTGAATTTTGGGAGAACAGCAAACTATTCTGAACTGGCACTTCACTTTTTGGTTACAGCGATCCTCAGTACTAAGGGATTGGATTGTCCTGCATCGTTGCTGGTATCTGCTGAAGGCAGCAGCGCACAGTCCTGCCTGCGAGTTAGTAAGAGAGGACAGAACATCACAGAAAAGCCCTTCAGCAACTAGAGATGGCCAAAGGCTACTTGGCGTACGTGG